TTCTCCTTAGAAGCCCACACTATCTGCACCATTTCCTCTAATAAACTCTCAGCTCAGAAACATGATTATTAGTTCTAAAACACAAGTGTTTTTTATAACTAACACAATAAAACTTTTTGCAACCCAGCTTTTTCAACTTTTTAGTGTAAATGAGAAGAAGCAGAAAACTTTAAAACCCAGTTTATAGCTCAGAAAACAATAAAGGAAACTCAAAGCAAAATATTTCAGTTAAAGCACAGCTGGGCAATTTAGACAAACTGCCATGCAACCCTGAGAAGTCTCCAAGTGGTACAAACGGTTAATGCTCTCAACTGTTAAACAAAAGGTTGACGGTTGGAGTCCCCCCAGAGGTGCCTTGGCAGATAGGCTGGGAAATCTACTTCCAAAAAAGCCCTATGGAATACAATAGGATTCTGACAGACATGGAGTCTCCATGAGTTGGAATCGACTGGATAGCAATTGGTTTGGTTTGGGGCTTTGGCCATGCAATATACAACTGAACTGATCAACTAAATTAAAAAATGATACCTCCCTGGTAGCTGAAACTGGTGATAATAGTTGACATTTATTGAGCTCTCACCACCAGACACCGCCCAGAGAAGTTAGTCCACAGCTAGGAAATGATAGAGCCAAGAGCTTGAACTCAGGCAGTCTGGCCTAATGTAATTCTAAACCAGCACAGGCTACTCACCAATTCTCCAATAAACATTTCTTCCACAGAGATCCAATGTGAGGTCTGCACCCAAAATAAAGCCAGGAGAGTTGCTGGAGATACCCACCCTGATTAAACCCAACACTTCACTAAGCTTCATTTAATACTAACATCAATAAAAAGACCACATTTTTCCATTTAATTGCTACAGTTGGACACTTTCTTCCAGCAACAAACGATACAGGTCAGTGTTCTTATCAAAACTCTTTTGTGCTTTGCTTTTATCCAAGGAACAGATAAGGACTTCATTCTACTAAATTTAGCTGTCTCCTTTATTTCTGCTCATCTCTTTCCAATGAGAAGCATGTCACTGACTTCTTGCAATTACTGGCCCTAAGCAGATAACAGCTTTTATCTTTCCCCACTGGACACTGACCCGT